AAAAAAAAAAAAAAAAAAAAAAAGGTAGAAGCAAGAACAGGTAGCAGGAAGGGGACAAAACCTGGAAATATTATGACCTGGAGCTAGGTCCCACTTGCACGAATTAAGAGATACTCACCGTAGATAGCAAAGATCAACGGCCGAAATCTCCTAATTTGTGCAAGTGGGACCTTGCCCCTGGTTGGGCCCCTGATGTGCAAGATGAGGAAAAAAAAGAAAAAGAAAAAAAAAGAGCCTGAATCTTCGGGTAGTACATGAAAACATACACTGACCCCCGAAGATGGTGTCCTCACACGGAGAAGATTGGATATCATCCTTACCAACAATGTTGTTCTACAACTGACCAACAGGGCGACCATTGTCACTGATCCAATGTCGGACCATAAACCAGTCACACTCCAGATCAATATGGGACTCCAAGTCACTAGGGGCAAAGGACTTTTCCGACTGAGCCTGCACGTACTCGACGATCCCGGAGTGACTGATTGGGTCTGGAGGACATGGGAGGAATGGAGAATCAACACCTCAATTTTTGAGAATGATGGACTTTGGTTGGATAAAGGGCTGACCCTCCTCTCCAATCAACTCAATCTCATATCAAGGGTCAAGGCGGTAAACAGGAAGTATGAAGAAATCCAACTGAAAAGGAAAATCGATGCCCTATGCTCCATACCAATAGATGGAGCCTCTCCGCAGGTGTCAGCGGTGATTGCTCTCATCAGCACCGCTAGCACTGGAAGGATCTGTTTCTTAAAAAAAAAAAAAAAAAAAAAAAAAAAAAAAAAAAAAAAAAAACTTCGGACTCCTTTTTCTCTAGGGTTGTGGCTCAACGTAAAAGAGCCAGACTAATGCAGGAATGGCAGAACATACAGATCAGACACCACAATTTATGGTAAAGGCATAGACAAATAGACAAAATCTTACACACCGACAGACTAACCAACAAAACTGCAACAACAGTCAGCCATACGCACGACTCCTTATCACTCTCCTAGAACACCCGGAAGACCCCTCCAAACCACCCGCAAGAGACTCGACGTCCTTGTGTGACTACGTCAGACTCTTTTATGAGCAACTCCTCACTTCCGAAAAAACCCCTAACTCCCCCATCATCCCACCACATCTGGAACACGCCCTTTGGGATGCAACCTCACACATCCTCTCTGACACATAATCTGCCTCTTTGGAAGGACCAATCACACTCTCCGAACTCACTACGACTTTAAATAGCATGGCCTAGGGCAAATGTCCCAGACCTGATGGCCTACCAGTGGAGTTCTACCTCAAATTCTGGACCCTGCTGACACCAGACATCCTCCGGGTTCTCAATCAGATATTGAAGGAACAACCATTGGGCCCACACGCAGCAGAAGGAATAATAACCCTTCTCTACAAAAAAGAAAACAAAGCAGACGTCAGGAACTACTGTCCAATCTCTCTACTGAATGTACATGGGAAAATTCTGGCTAAAACATTGACCCATCGCATCACCCCCCTCTTAAACAAGCTTGTACACCCAGATCAATCTGGTTTCATTCCCGGCAGGCAGGTCTTGGACAATGTGATGACCATTTCCCAATCCATGGACTGGATTAAAAGTCACAATTTGAACAAAACTATGATTCTCATTGATTTCCAAAAAGCATACGATCGGGTGAATTGGGATTTCGTTTAGGCCACACTAGAACGAGTAGGGTGGGACAAAACTTTAGGAAATTTGTTAAGGCACTTTACGGGGCATCATCTGGAAGAGTACCCATAAACGGACACCCCTCCTCACCCTTCAAGGTCACGCGCTCGTTGCGCCAGGGCTGCCCACTAGCCCCCTCAGTTTTTGTAATTCAACTAGAAGTATTAATGAACATGGTCAGACAGCACCCGGACTACACAAGCCTACAAGTTTCCCCATCCTTCTCGATCAAGGTGTCAGCACTCGCTGATGATTTTTCTGTCATTTCTGACAACTCCCTACCCTCCTTGGCCGCGCTGGAACATTGCCTATCGACCTACGAAGCAGCATCCGAGATGAGAGTGAGCTGGCAGAAGTCGGTCGCTCTTACTCACTACGGTCAACCCCTGGCCCTGGATCTGGGTATTCAGGTAAAATCAGCATCAGAGGTTGAAAGATACTTAGGCATTCAAGTCTCCTTTGGCGACTCAGCGGAGGTGCAGAACACAATAATCGAAAATAGGATTAGAGATGCCTGTTCATCGTGGTCAAAAACCCGCTTCCTATCTCTCTTTGGGAGAGCGACTATCATTAACACATTCATAACCTCCAAAATCTGGTACATCCTCTCCATTAGATCCCCCTCCTCTAACTCCTTTTCTAACATTAGGCGTCTTATCACACGACTGTTATGGAAAGGTAATTCGGAAGCAGAATCAACCCTCAACAAAGTAAGCTGGAGTAAAATCACAGAGAAAAGAACAACAGGAGGTCTAGGCATCCTAAACCCAGAAAACCAGAACCGGGCTCTGCTGGCCAAATGGCCAGTCCGAGCTATGATCTCCAAGGAGGACCAACCTTGGATTATATTGGCTCAACACTCTCTAGCTAAGGAATGGAAGTTCTCAGACCCAGAGGCGGTCTGGAGTGCCCTGCTGATGTGCCCCTTCGCTACCAAATCCTCTACTAACACCTGTAACAACATCCTCAAAGCCTGGTCGAAGATGCTCCCCCAAATGTTAACTGACCCCACCACTCGAGTCGAGATTCTGAACACTTGCCTGTTTGAAAACCCCTCAATCCGTAACAGGGTTGGGCTCCCCTTCTCGGTTGCCAAAGCAGCAGGAAATTTCGGCCTGAAATGGATGCAGCGGGGCATATGGTTGATTCGCCATGTCTGGGACGAGGAATCCAAGAACTGGAAAACCGCAGGGGACCTCCACCATCAGCTCGCAGGCGTGCAACTTCAAGCAGATCACTTGGAAGAAATTTTAGAATCCATTCCCCACGCATGGATACATGTCCTTCGACAGACAGACAAAGGGTTCAAGGAAGACCAATGGTTCAAAGTCCCCTCCACTACGGATAAATTCCTCAGAGTTGATAAGGTTAACAACGATGGTACAACAGAAGCCTCAGAATGGTCCCTTGTCGGAGACAGGCTAAGCCGAACTGGGGACACACAGCCAACTACTCTGTCAGACATGGAGGAATTCAACACTCAAAGGGCACACAGGGACATCCTGTTAACCGGGTCATCATGGCAGCTATTCCAATCAGGAAATGGAAAGCAGATGTTTGCAGGTACGGCTGGAAAGTCTCACAAGCCAACAATACCGGTAACAGTGTGCCTATCAGAGAATACTCTTCCCAGTTAGGATACTCTCTTTTCTCCGAAGCCCACTCCCTGCAAACAGGTCTTACCCTGAACTGGCAACGCAGACTCTCCGCTCTTAACCTCCAACCTCTATCCTCCAGATGGCTGCTATTTTTTATCCACATCATTACTTCCTCTCTCAAGACCAAGGTAGGGGGTCTTCAATGGATGCATCTACACTCATGTGTCCCGACTTCATTATGGTGCTCAGAGAAAGGTATGGAGATCTCTACGTTGTGTGATGCGTGTCTACACCCATGCCTAGAGGACTGGCTGCATTTATGGTGGGAGTGCGTCATTGCCAGAGGATTCTGGGACAACCTGAACTCGATGTGGGCAGAGGCATACAGCTATACTGGGTTCTGGAATCAAGATTTCGTTATCACAAGCAGACTGAACCCCGACATCCGCAAGCAGCAGCTTGGGGCTGTTGCCCAGATATTCAGATTAAGGACTTTCTGGTGCCAGGAGAGATAGGCGCTTCTTTAACTCCAAATCCTCTGTTCCGTCTCTGATCTCTCAGTTCAAACACTCAATTAGACGAGACATTATGGCAGAATGGATTAGAATCAAGCGACAAGCTATTTCGACAGACTTAGCTAGAGAACAGTTCCAAAAGAAATGGTCCACCCCTTATCCATGGGCCGGTTTCACAGACAGGAACTCTCTTTTCTACTCGGAACTTCTGTGGGATTTCCCCCCTAGGCCTAGCTTGCTCTCTTCCTATCAGGCAGTTTCACACTGAGAGGGCCAGGTATCCCTTCCACTTCTGGTATTGCTGTTTTAGTTAATCCCCCTTCTTCCAAAACGAATCTGATATGTTTTTTTCCGGGTAGACTGTGAGGCCCCCGGCCTCTGCATCTGGCTTACAGGGACGTTGGGCCCGGTTCCCAACAGGTGCAGCTCCCCACCAATAGATTGGAGCAACTTTGCATGGGGAAAAAAAAAAAAAAAAAAAAAACATACACTGACCTAATTTTTTGTCTTTTGTGCATGCGGTGGTGACTACCGGCCAGATACAGCCAAACTGAGGGTGCGTTGTGTTCGGGGTTACTAGTGTAGAGGAGAGAGACCCTCTGGGCCTCTGTAGTTACACCATTTCTCGATTTATCGTTGCGCAGGGGCCATGCTAATCTTCTCTGTCTCGTTCCAATTTTAACAGATGTCCCGAAGGACAACTCTGGAGTTACACCGTGCATGCTCGGCGCTTGGCGCGCCATCCGGGCGGCGCCCCGACGCGCAACGTGGAATCAGTATCTTCTGCATATCTCTGGCCCGACGCACGAAAATTGTTCCCTGAGGCGAAAAAAACTCTGCGGCACTGCGATGCTGAGAACCAAACCGCCAGTCTGAAAAAAAAAAAAAAACGCCAGTCTGGAGTACATTCCAGCCCAAGTACAGCCCAGGGGCCAAGTCCCACGTGCAGCCTTAAGTTCCGTCGAGCCCTGAATATGTTTGTGGAGATGTGCAGAAATGGCATTCAGTTTCGTCAACGACAAATTCGTCCAGATTCTGGCGTTGGGGAAACTCGACTCTGCTAGACGGGACTACCACGGGTGACTGCGGGACTCCCGAGCAGTACCCATCCCCAGCACACGTATGAAAACGACCAAAAAAAAAAAAAAAAAAAAAAACGACCAACATGGGCCCAACGCATGGGCCCCACGGGACGGCTGGGTATGGGGCCCTCAGCCTCAGGCACAGGCCTGTGCCCCTGGTGCCGACAGCTCAGGGCGGTCTACCGGCTTCTCCCGAATAGAACGCCGTATTTGGTGCAACTTTCCGTCCACATACGGCGATAATGACCGGGCGTTCTATTCGGGTAAATACCCGGTAGAGGGGTTGGCCGGTTCGCCAAGTGCCGCCGCCGCACCTTCATCCCCCGAATACAAGACGGTAGGTCCCACGTGTACGGGGATTCCCAGGAGCGGGGTCCCGCTAGCAAAAGGGATTGGATTGATCTAAGGATCCAGAAAAGCAGAAGAAGATCAATAGCGATTTTGTGAATATCTCGAGAAACACGTCCATGTTCATGCTTATCAGCCGTTCCTTTTTTTTTTCTTTTCTTTTCTTTTTTCTTTTTTTGCTCTTGTTCTTCACATCGTCCGTTTGTTTCTTCTTTCCAAAACCAAATCGAGCAGCGTCAGCGCATCGTGTCATCGTTCGAGAAATGACCCAAAAATAAAAATAAAAATAAAAAGAATCAGATTAGGAGATTTGCCGCTGGAGATAAGCTGATAATTTCTTAAAAAGGAAAAACAATAAACGGATAACTCGGTGGGAGCGGATTATTCGGGAAAGTGGGACCATTTCCCTCCCTGAATAGGAAATAAAGCAAAGGCACCCAAGAGCCTACCAGGGCCGAGGTCCCACTAGCAAAATGGATAGGATCGAGCTCCTGAATCTGGATGTGTTTTATGCAGAGATGCAGAAAAGCTGTGCAATCTCGATTTCCTGCACCTCTCCACAATCACGTCCAGTTTCGGGTATTCAATCCCATCCTCTTGGCTGGTGGGACCACGCCGCAGGTCATGGAACTTGATTGATGAGCGAAAAAAACAAAAACCAAATATTTCTAAATTGCCGGGGGAAAAAAATAAAAAAATAAAAAAATTGCGGGGAGCCTACCGTAGCTCAGTGGGTCAGCTCAACGATGACCTTGCGTTAGCCGGGGACCACCACTGGCGGTCCCAGCCCATCCTTGACCCCCACGGTTGGGGGGGAGGAGGGGGGGGGGGCAACATACACCCCATCTGATGGGAGGCTGGAGGGAGACAACAAAGCTATGTTCGCAGGGGTCTCCTGTATAATTATGCCTGAGGAGTAGGGGTAGGTAGGGAGGTAGGTAGTGAAGGTGAAATGAAAGAATAATTTGAAAGATGATGAAGGATTTGAGAGGGGAAAAAAAAAAAAAAAAAAAAAAAAACCGCAAGGCAGCAGTCACCTGAGGGAAGAACATAAAACCAAAACTCAGAGAGAGAGAGAGAGAGAGAGAGAGAGAGAGAGAGAGAGAGAGAGAGAGAGAGAGAGAGAGCGCTAAGCTGCAGTGCTTTTGTACGTGGGGTCGGTCGGGCCATTCAAGTTGGCCTCAAACGAGGAGGGGAGAGGAGGAGAGAGGAGGAAGAGAGAGGGGAAAGGCGGAGCCGTCACTGCGCTGGGTGGGAACACAGATATCCAGCCACGCGGCACCGGCGCGTGGCCATATACATATATATTTTTTTGAATCACGTACTTTCTCAGTCGTGGGAGATGCTCGAGTTGCTGACGTGGCTGTCGCTAATAGGCTGAGGAGGCGGCATTTGCCGCTTGTAGCGGAGGCGGAAGAGCGGGAGAGGGGGGAGGAGGGGGGGAGCAGCCGCCGCCGCCGACGGCCGCGCCGGGGGCTCGATTCCAGGTCGCACTATCACCTCCCCGCCGGCCTGCCAGCAGCAGCAGGAGCAGGAGCAGGAGGAGCTATCGCCGTCGGACAGTCGGGATCCCTTCGTCAGCCTTCCGCAGGAATCCTTGTCAGACCCGTCAGCGGGAGAGTCGAGATCCCGTTGTCAGCAGCATCAGCAGCACCAGCGGCAGACTGTTGTGGTCTCCCCCCCCCCCCGTCCCAGATGACGATCAGTGGGGCTCCATCTACAACACGAACACGTGGCAGTCGCTGGCGTGCTTTCCATCTTTCTGCCATAGCCACAGCCATAGCCGTTCTTCTTGCTGCTGGTTTTCTGGAAGATGCTACTAGGAGCTGTCACGTGGATGGAGCCTTTCTCCCCACTGCAGCAGGAGGGGGAGGAGGAGGAAGAGGAGGAGGGGCTGGGTATGGTGGCCGCTCGGTATTGAGGGATAATGAGGTGGCATTGCGAGGGGGAGGTGAGCATCAGCCACGTGGCAGTTTGAATGCGGGGGAAGCGCATCGAGTTCTTCAAGATGCAAGCCAACCTGCCGATTTAGGAAAGGTGGTTGGGGGGAGGGAAATCAACATTGCTCATGCTCCTTATCAAGCCAGCATCTTTCTGGAGTTGTTCGTGAACGACACCGCAGGACCTGTCCTACTCAACGTGTGTGCAGGAACTCTCATTGATCCAGAGTACATCATCTCAGCTGGTATGCCTATATAGATACATATATATATATACACACATATATGTATATACATATATATATACATATATATACATATATATGTATGTATGAGCCGTATTAGTGTAAATATTACGCTCCTACAACTCCTCCTCCTCCTATCTCATTCCCTCTTACTGTCTTTTGTCTGCCTCTCTCTCTCTCTCTCTCTCTCACACACACACACACACACACACACACACACACACACACACACATCATCACACAAAAGACGCACACACACACCTCTCTCTCTGCCTCTCTGCCTCTCTGTCCCTCTGTCTATATAGCTGTGTGTCTGTCTCTACCTCTCTGTCTGCTCGTCTGGGCAATCTGTGTCTTTTCTCGTCCTCTATTTTTCCCTCAATAAAAAACGAACTTTTTTTTTTTTTTTCTCTCTCTCTCTCACTATCGAGGAACAGACCCACGGACTGATGATATCTCTAAAAATGTTGTGTGATACGCGCAGATACACAGTGAAAAACAGTAATGAACTGAAATCACAATGTGAGATCCGAATTGCCTTTTTTCTTTTTTTTTTTCACACTACTTATTGGTTTATGTGGAGATGTATAAAGGACAAGGATGGGGGATGGGGTTGGTTCCCAGATAGAATAATGGGCTTTTTTAAGGAAGCAGGTGAGACTTAATAAATGTTCATTGTTCAGGTAGAAATTCCAAGTCTTCCTTTGCTGCATATATTAACCTGGATTTTGTTATTTTTTCGTCGTTGATAGTACTTGACATTACTTGATACATCCAGGATGACATTTTTCTGGCTAACGGTTGGGATGGGTCGGGACTCGGGAGTGCCTCGTCCTGCCCAAATGGTTGGGTGTTTTTTTTTCTTTTTTTTTTTTTTATGTAGGACTCCAGCGTCCAGCTCATAAATGTCGGGCGTCCAGCCCAAGTGGGTTTTTTTTTTTTTTTTTTTTTTTTAATGTGAGGCTCCGGCGTCCAGCTCATAAATGTAATGGAATGGTTGGTTTTGTATTGAAAAAGAAAGGAGAAAAAGAAGTAGCAGATTGCCAAAGACGGCGGGTTATGGCTTCCATCCACTACCGGCGTTTAGACCTTTTTTTGTCCTCCTCAGGGGGATCTCCACCCGTCTTCTCCCTCTCGTCTAATCCAACTTGCCACACGCCCTTCTCCGTCGACTGACTCACCGACATCTCCGGACATCCACATCACCCCAAAACTTGAAAACCCAAAAAAATGAAAACTAGAAACTTGAAAACCAAAATGATGAAAACCCCAAAAAATGAGAACCAAAAAACTGAGAACCAAAAAAATGAAAACCAAAAAATGAAAACGAAAAAAATGAAAACCAAAAAAAGGTACGTCGGGCGGACGGTCTATTTGCCGTAGCATTCTCGCTCTCATACATTGTGGGAGTTTTCTTTTCCTTTTTTCTTTTTATTTTTTTGGTACGTGTATTGCGAATCTCTCTTTTTTTTTTCCTCCAAAAAAAGCGGAGGAGAAAGCGAATGAGATGTCTGTTTACGAAAATTATCTGTGTGTGTGACACTCTGTGTGTGCGACACTCTGTGTGTGTGTGTGTGTGTGTGTGTGTGTGTGTGTGTGTGTGTGTGTGTGTGACAGTGTGTGTGTGTGTGTGTGTG